AAATAGGTATATGCAAATAATCTGTTTTAGATTCAAGTCTGCAATTGAATGATTTGATATTTGGGCTGGAAATGACAATTGCTTATAATTTTAAATCAGCAAAGTAATTATCAAACTACCACAATAATACGATTACAACTGGTTATAATCTAATTTCTTTTGAAATTGGATTAAAGGAACAGTTTGTGGAAATATCGATTTTTAAACGGTGCCGGAACTAAGTGAATACTCCTAATTTATTAGAATAATCTCTGGTTATATCGATATAACTTAAAAAAATTATTAAATATCATGCTTCAAATTTTCTAATACCATAACAGCATATCTTAGACATGAGATTTAATTTAATTCACGAAAAATACAAAGTTGAGTAACAATAATTAGGAGGTATATCATTATCGTTATTAATATTATTTTCTACAAGAGATGATTTTACTTAATATGCGCTAAAGGATTAAATAAATATATTACGGTAAATATCGATATAGATAAGTTAACAATCAATTATTAATAGTTTATTATTTGTTAATTTACTCTGATTTAGTTTGTTTTATTGTAGTGTTTCATAGTTTTTCTTGCAAGACGTTCGAAATCTCTTAAATCTCTTCATAGGAATAAAATAAATAAAATGAAGTTAAGAAATTATTAGATCAACTTTAAAAATGTGACACAATTTATTACATGTATGTCCAATTGGACTAAATTGACATCATGATCTCTAATGTTTTAGATTAACAAATTAAAAAATAAAATACATGTAATATAAAAGTTGTTGTCATTTCTTCTGATGAGGAACGTTGACTAATAAAGTCTTATTTGGTTGTAATGCTTCATGAATTTGTAATCTTGTTTGTAAGACTTTGATTCTAGTTGTTAAAATTAAACCCATTTGGAAGTGCAAATAAATTTTTAATTGATCGAAATGTTAACATGATTATATTTAAAAAAGAAAAGTACGTACCAGTACAGGCAGACCTCCCTAAGTGCAATCCCTCTAAGTGCAATTATTCTCTAAATGCACGTGCTAATTTGGTCCCAACTTATAATACATATATGTATTTTTACCTCTATAAATGCAATATCGCTAAGTGCAAGTATTTGTATGGTCCCGAAGAGTTGCACTTAGGGAGGTCTGACTGTATCATTTGTAATTGAAAGTAAAAATTCGACTGGTGCAAATTGCATTTAAGTGAGTTTTTTGTTTCTCAATCTCATTTCCTCATCAAGTTCTTTCATTTTTTGCCTTGCCAGTTTAAGACACTCTTTAATTTCTTCATGTTTTTTAGGATATTCTAAAGAGCTATAGTATTGAAATGCAAAGCAGTCCGTTTGTACTTCCAATCGATATCGTAGATCGTGTAGAGAAAGTCGAGAAGTAATATTATTTGGTACATGTATCCTTTATAATGTCTCGCACGAAATCTCTATCATGACTCCGCTCACCGAATGGTCGTTTACCTCGTACATAACCATTCCAAAACTGCGAATATCTGCAGCTTGAGTGTATGAATTTTCATTTAACACCTCTGGATTAATACATGTACATTACAGTACCCCAAAAAGTATCGCCCGATTTTTTTAAAAAATGAAATTTTCGATTTACAGTAGGGAACATAAGTATCCGACCGCCCGGCATTACCCAAAATCATACTATAACGATCACCCAAATTTTCTGGGCGTAAAATGTAATACGACACCTGATCGCTTGTACATTTATAAATTGTCAGAGCTTCTATATCGGATATTGTATGTTCATAACGGTAACTTTCACATCCCAAATACAATCAGTTATTTCATAACACATATCTCAATATTCAATAATCTAATTCTTGACGTTCAGTGATCCGATTTGAACAAACATACAACCATTTGATTCGCCCGGTCGAGGTGAATCAAATGGTATTATTTTTGTTTGAATCGGATCGCTGGCCCTCGAAATGTTACATCTTAAAGTAAGAGATTCATTTTTTTTGGTATTAACAAAAATCAATCAGCCAATTCAGACGTGATATCTCGATCTCCAGTGTTCCAATTCAAACAAAAAATAATATCATTCAATTGTCTAGTCAAGGATCAATTTCTAATGAAAAATTGATCGACAAATACATGTATCTTTAGGATGTAATATCGATACGTATCTCTACATCCATTTGATTTATCTAGATTAGACAATCGAATAGTAGTATTTTCGCTCAAACCGGGTCACAGGACGTCGAGATATTATCTCCTAAAGTGACCGATTTATTGTATTGGGGCATGAAAGTTTATGAAAGTTTATAAACATGCAATATCCGATATAGAAACCCTGACAATCTATAAATATACAAGCGATCAGGTGTCATATTACATTTTACGCCCAGAAAATTTGGGTGATCGTTATACGTAGTATGATTTTGGGTAATGCCGGGCGGTCGGATACTTATGGTACCTACTGTATTTCATTTCTGCTTTATCCTTATATACATACATAAAAATTTTTTTCACCATTAACTAATACATTATCACCCTATATGGCTTCAATATCACCTCGATTCCTTACGGCATCGAGCTCACATCCTACCCCAAGCTAACACATTAAATTTTGACTACACTTTCTTCAGAACATGTTCACAATTTTTGAAAAGCTTTTACACTTAAGAGTATTGTTTTACAATGGTTTCTAGATGTTTTCTATGAAGTCAGTCTGGGGAATACGTTAATTGGTTCATAATCATTAATATTCCTATTTCGTGATCTTTTTAGAATTAGGGTTAGAGTTAGAGTTAAGCTAAACGCCATATTTTTTCAAATTAATGAGCATAATATATTATGTTATGAAAAAGAATGAAATTACCTTAAAGAATCTTCGGGTAAATATTTTTGTTGACCATGTCACGAAATGGCTCAGGTTGTCTTTTTTGGCTTCTTGTAAATGTGCATTTTTTTTCTTGATTGTTAAGAGCTTGTGACCTTCCAGACCCTGGTAAATTTTATTTTTTCCTATTTCTATTGTATTCGGCAAGAGACCATTGTCATCGAGTCACAGATCATTTTTCTTGCAACTTGTATGGCACTCAAAACCTCAATAAAAATCACCCATTTTACCCTTGTCAAAGTCGATCAACTGGAGGCGGTGTGTGTTATATTTACAGCCAACAAATTTCGCCCAGTGTATGTTCAAAAGTCGAAGAAATAAAAAAAATTTGCAGTCAACAATAACAAAAAGGGGGAAAACCACCACATTTAAATTTATGTTGATGTTGCACATCCAAATCATCCAAATCGGGCGTTACTTTCTGTGGCGACTGTACGTACATGTACATATATGGAAGAACCCACAACTCCGCAACTGGTAACAGTCACGATATTAATTACATGTACATGTATATACATGTACATGTTCATGTACTGTGCAACGGTAACCATATCTAGTAATTTTCGGCCGTAACCTATACATCATTTTAGTCTCAATTTCTAGGTCATTACAACTTCCAAATATAGAAATTGATCATCAAGTTCAGCCAGTAAAACATGAAGGTTTCACCCAAAGGGCACACTCTTTTATTGGAACTGGTACTATAAAAAAGTGAGTGTAGTTTTAGGGGAGCGTGACCGTTGATAAATCTTATGTACAGTTAACCCTCTCTATTATCAACCTCTTTAATATCAATACCTCTTTATTATCAACATTTATTGCAGAACAAATTTCACTTGGACTAATTAATATATTGATACTAACTCTAACCTCTGAGTTATCAACCCTCTTATATATCAAAAAAATACCTGGTCCTACATGTTGACAATAGAGAGGGTTGACTGTACATGTACAAGCCAAAACATGCAAAAAATTTAAGCTACAAAGAATTTATTTTTCGAGACAGAAAAATTTGTATCTATTTCGCCAGTTAAGTTCAGTAAAATCACTTCCAATTCACCTCAAGAACCAATACAAATCGATGGACTGTCATCTTTGACTTCCAATCCGCCTCAAGAACCAATACAGATTGATGAGCCGCTATATTTGACTTTCAATTCATCTTAAGAAACAATACAAATCAACGGGCCGCCACCTTTGACTTCCAATTCACCTCAAAAACTAATACAAACCGACGGGCCGCCATCTTTAACGTTAGTAATTTCGACAGCCATTTATAATAATCAAGGCGATACAAATAACTTTACGACAACCGCATCTAAATGTACAAGATTATCCCGATGACTTTATACGTACATGTATACGTAAATAAAACTAATGATTTACATATCGATATACGTACATGTAGCCCAAGGTGTCGTAACAATAACCAATTTTCTGATTTTTCTTCGCTGAAAATACAGATGGTGAAAGTCACATAATTAATACCAATAATGAATTCTTCATCAACACCGAACCCATTCATAACCAATACTCTAATAACAAAGCTGATATCTTCACCTTTATCGCAATCACAAATCAATTTATGATAGCATATGATAGCATCTCCTTTATTAATAAATAATATAAAAAAGTATGGGTAATCCCTCGTTAAATTTGTTTTTTATGCTTTTGCGAATTTTTATTAGACGATCTATTCTTTAGCTCGTTCGTTCTTTCTTTTGTACTTTTTATTCTTTTGCTACTTCGCTACTTCATTTACTTTGTTTACTTTCTGTTCTTACTTTGTTCTGTTTTTCAATCTTTTATTTTTGTTCTCTAATTTCTTATGATCTTTGTTCTATCTATAATAACATTCGTGAACTTGTTAACTATGTATTTTTATTTGTTATAGGAAGAATAGTCAAATAAACTAAACAAACTTAAAATGTTTCAAATTATAGTTCTTTCTTTTATATGTATTAATGAATAGTTATGTAATTATATGTCGTATACTAAACTTCTTTAACCAATTAAATGACTTCTTTTATCGCATTAAATATAGAATTCTTGGATCTAACCAAACTTACAACCGAATATTTTGCTCCGAACTCGAACTCGAACTCGAACCTGAACTCGAACCGGATTAGACCTGTATAGGAATTCGTCAAATTTCTAGCCGAATATTTTGTGATATATTTAAAAGCTCTTCGATATCCTACAAGCAGCAAATAATAAAAATTAAATCTTGAATATGTGTTCTTTACAACAAATCAAAAATTTAAACATACCATATCTGAAAAATCGAATTTTGCTTTTTCAAGACTGTTCGTTGTCACCTTAACTCTACTCATCTTGTCGGCAATTAGCTCTAAATTTCTCAAGCTCGCCTCCAAACTATCGATATACTGATGATTCTGATTACAAAATTTACAATTTTTCGAATTCTTTTGACGGCTAAGAGTACGACCACCACGTATTGGAGGATAAGATGCACCTCGAACTTGAAAGATGAATCTTTTTCCTGTAGTATCAATTTCGTTGGTGTTGCATTTCCGAAGGTTGCTTTTGATACGAGTGTTGTTGTTTTTAACGTTTTTTGATGATGTCTTAGCTTGTTGTTTTAATGCCATTATATAAATTTCTCGTTGAAAAATATTACGAAAGTATGATATTCGGATAAAAGGAAATTACGAATTTATAATTTTTCAATAAACATCTATTAATAGATCATTACATACTTTGTCTAAATAATTTCAAACAAAAGATGCATTGAATTTGTTTGAATTTAAAAAAACTTTGCGTTTCGGGCACAACAATACGCTTTGTTCTTTATCCTTTTTCCTTAATCTTCTATTTTGGATTGCACATGTTAAAAAAGTACGTAGTACAACTTCAGGAGTGATCAACTTTTTGCGGATACATGTATTTACTATCACCGGAGAATCTTTACAAACAAAAATAAACAGTTAATAACAGGCCACGTATGTTATTTTGACATGTTTTTAAATAAAAATGATATCATTATCGGATAGAAAACTTTGAGAGCTATCAATTAAAAAAATGTCACAAATTTGCTAAGAAGTAAATTAGCAATTGACATTATAAAAATAATTTGCTCTCCTACATTTCCATCAGTTGACAGATCAGTTATCAATACCCCATCTAGACTGGGATGTTACGGTCGGTTCGGTCCGAAATGACTGGTTGAGTGAGACGAGTACTACGGCATCAGAAAATAATAGATTGACATTGATGGTTAATGGAGAGCGAAGTTTGGTAAAAAATAATGAGATGGTAGTCTTTTAAATTTTAACAAATCAAGTATAAATAAACAGCAACTGGATTTACTTAAGAGGAAGGGAAAGCAAAGAGAAATTTTCAAGAGAATTTTTTTTAGTAGTTTAATTAATTAAATTACAGTTTGTTACATTACACTTGAATTCTTACTTAAATTTGCTTTTTAATTATTCCTTTTTCGATTATTC